AGAACCTCCCACATCCCTTCTGCTCCATCTTCTGCATCTCCTGTAGGGCTGCAGCCGAGGTGGGAGCTGAGAAAATGCCACCACCGCCAGAGTAACCACCACGGCTGCCTCCAGTACCTCCACCAGATTTGCTGCCTGGAGCAGTGGCGGAGGTAGAACTGCCAAAGCGTCTTGGAGCTCATCAGCAGGAGCAGGCAGGGCATTCTGGGGTGAGCTTTTGTGAGGCCACCTGCCTGCTCCACTCTCTTCCTACTCTGAGCAGGTTGGGATGGGGCCTCAGGACAGCTCACCCCAGCATGCCCCGGGCTGTTCCTGCTGACTAAAAAGCCAACTTGGAAGGAGGTATCTTGACCCTCTTCTGGAATGTGGAGAGAATGAGGGTCAGTTGCAGCGCCAAAGAGAATGTGTGTTGTTTATGTGACAGCATCTGAAGATGGCTATCCTCTTGCTGCTTGTCCCCTCCGCCGCTCCTTCCGAGGTCCCTGATGGGACATGGTCTTCACGTTCAAATTCTAACAAAGAATTCTCTGTACTTCTCACAAACTATAATTTCCACGATTCTGTCTGTGAGAACAGTAAAAAGAAAACCTGCTATTTTTGATTAATATGTTTGCTTTGAGTAGTTCTTGTTTCTAAAGGTCCATTTTTTGGGGGAAAGGTACCCCAAAGTTAGTGTTCCAGGTGTCCTATGTGACCTAGAATCCACATTTTCAAAGAATCATACACTGATAGGTAGGAACATGCTTTCATGAAGTAGTAATACATTAATAACAATAAATATGTGTTTCTGTCTCGTGGCACATTTGCCATCTGTGGCTCTTCTGTTGAACAAGTCTGACCATCCCTGGATTAGAAGGTACTGAGTGTAACGTGTAAGAGCAAGAAAGAACAGGCATAATGGACAGCAATGTCTGGGAAATACTGGAAGTCCCAGTTGGAGCTCTCTAAATGAGAATGGTGGCTGAATGTTTGAAAAATAACAAAATTTGTGAAATTATCCAACATTTGTCAAATTAGCCAAGCCTCTGATAGTTGAAATTGGAAGAGAACCATTATGCTTAAAATGGTCTTGTTTGTAAGGATTATTGATGTTTTCTCCCACAAAGTTGTCTGGATTTAGCTGCTGATTCATATATCAGAGAATGTAATATGGAATACTTCTGTATCCTGTTTCATTTGGGACAATATCCCTAGTTTTTGCATTGTTTTGTGGACATTCCACCCTGCCCCCCCTTTCCTTCTCTTTTTAAATGAGCAAATATATAACAGATTTTTTTGCTCATGTTGAGGCTGAAGTGCCTGTAAAGCTTGAGCCCCTTCCCAATACTCACAAGCAAGGGGACTGAGGGCTCCATCGAGCTGTCCTGATCTTCAAAAACAGCCTGCCATTTCATATGGGTGGATGCAACCGCTTGCAGATGAAGCAAATAAAAGCTCAGCACCGCCCTGTTGCAACATTTCATGCATAAAAATAGGAACGTGCCAGCCAACACCTCCTGTTCTCTCTCAAACCATCACTGTCCGAGGTTGCCCAGGCATCTGCGCCCACAGGCACACAACAGGTGGCTAGATGGACCTTTGCTCTGACCCGACAGGGCTCTTGCATCTTTAATGTGAAACTCATTTTCCTTCCATGAGGAAGGAGCCCTGCTGCTGCTTGTCCCAGAGAGAGAGAGAGAGAGAGAGAGGGAGACACACACACACACACACACATGAGATCTACCCAAGAGAGGATCAAGTGGTTTCCATGGTACTGTGGTTTCCATGCTGCCTGCTTGGTCCTCCTGCTGTTGTTTATTGGACATCCCATGAGCCATTAGGCTCCCTGTTGCCATGTAGCCCATCAGCCACTGTGTCTGAAATTCCTGCCTGTGCCAGCTGTTACTTCATTGGTTTCCACATCTGTTAGGGCAGAGGAGAGCAGAGTTTAGATGGTGGAAGAGGCTCCTTCAGTGGTGGTGCTTTCCATGGAGCTCCGCAGTAGTTGCATACCAGGACCAGGGAAACTACAATCCTGGGTTTAAACAACACAGTATTATGGAGAAACCATTGTTGCTGTAGTTTTTGATGACCAACTTACCTAGGTGAAATCGCACAGCTAGGTCCAGCCAACATGACAAACCAACAATGGTGACTAACCACCACGGTTTGTTGTGTTGGCAGAATTCAGCCAATCTACATGGCCAAGCTCTCCGCTCTGGTTTAAGGCAGTTTTCTGTGTTGTTAGAACAAAATCCTGGGAAGGACTTCTTGATCAACTTGAATTAAGAACATGAATGAAAAAGCAGGTTCTGAAGGTTGCACTGGGTGTTTAACTTGAGATGCAGTGGTGCTTGTTGGTTTTGTATGCTTAAGCGTTCGCGATAGTCGTGCACTCAGTGAAGTGCATTCATGCACCAATTATTGGGTGCAACAGCAGACACATTGGCTTCATATGGTGGCATTAAGGCTTTGTTAAATACAGTCAGTCTGCACACCTAACACAGTGAGTAATGCCTTATTTCTCTAGGCTGCAATTTTAATGTAAAAGCCTACAAGAACTCGAGTCTGATTTAATACTCCATTGTCAGACTAGAGATAAAAGCAACACATTGCTAAAGAGTGATTAGTCTCAACTGTTTGGAACAATGCAATCTTTTAGAAAATGGGTGTTTATAAAATTGCTTTAACAACAGCATTAGCAATACAGCAATTAATGAACATTTGAGTGATCTCCAAGCACTGGTTGAACAAGTGAACTGAAAGCACACACAAGGAGAAGAAAGTGTTGAAGAACACTAAAATTAGTCTTCCAGAACAATGCTCCCTTGTATTGCTCTGGGCAGCTGGCATACTTAAAGTGGTTCAGGGAGACTGTTATGATCTATATGAGCCTTGGTGTCTAGCTACAAGTCTCCCCGGCTGGTAGTGCTTTATCAGACTTCCCAGCCCTGCTAACGTATGCAAGCAAACATGAAAATTCAAGTACTGTTGTCTGGTTTTTCAGGAAGAGCCGGTTATAAAAAGCCCTCCCACTCTTGCATGTATGCTTGCGTTGCTGGTCCCTGATGGAAGAGAGGAAGGCTCAAAGGTATTCTGAGTGCCAGCTGCTGTTCTTGGGCAAAGCATCTCCATGGGGTCTCATCACTGGTATCCTTCACTTGCTTGGAAGGCCAACAGCACTGAGCATGAAGGCAGGGAAAGCCACTGCTCTTCCTCCTCACTGTCGTCAGAGCTGGAGGCGGGCAAAAATGGCAGGGTGCCACACTGAAGAGGAGCAATGCCAGCGGGCTGGGCTCACAGCCACTGGCCCCCCGCTGGCCTTTGGGCTTTCAGCCAGTGCCCAACCATGTCCGCCTTTGACATTGCTCCTGGGTATCTCCTTTCCTGTTCAAATTCCAATTCACCCAGCAATAGCATTGGCCAAGTCACCTTCTAGTTCCATTTCCTCATCTGTAAAATGAGAACTGCTTACTTCCCAGGTTAAGAGGAATGCCATACAGCGTTTTCTTCATGACCTGTATTATTGAGCCTCCTGACCTGGCGCTTTATGGACTCTAAAACATGCCTCCCCCACACATCCAATGAGTCAAGGGGCTCTGGAAAATGTTCCCCCTCTTTGACCAACCGATCTGAACAGACCTACTTTTTTGGCCTGCGTTCCCTGGCGGACCAATTCCGATTGTGTTTCGAACCTTGATTTGTACTAGTGGCTCTCAGTAGTGTGAGGCCTCACCAAGGTGCACACCTGTGCCAGGGCTCCGCACTGCAGCTCAGGAACAGACTACTCAATAGCTACACCTGTAAAAAAAGGCCCAACTTAAACTCCCAATTTGGCAGTCTTCCCGCTTGCGACCTTAAGTGCTATATTGTAAGACTGGTTTTAGTGGCGAGGCTTAATTTCTTTGGTCCCTGAATGAGCTGGCAACATGTCCTCTGTCCCACCCCGCTCCAAGTAGAAAACTGGTTGGTGCCATTGCGCTCCTACTCTTGATTAAGTGCCTGTCACTGGGTGCTTGGTTTTTATTTATAGCCAGAAACGGCAGGCTGGCATTCATTTATATTAATACTACCCAAGTAACAGATGGCGTCAGTTCTTCTAAGTACTCTGGAGGTCTAAGGCCCAGCTAGGCTGCTCAGCCCATGACAAGCTTGTAACAAGGGCCTCCCACATTCATACCATGATCTCATCCTTTACACACAATCTCATGAGTCACAAAATAAAATTTCTATTTTAATTCTGAAACTACATTTCCTTCATTTCTGAAGTATACACTAGCCTAACCCGCCCTCCCACCCCCTTTTTCTATTTTTACATAATATGCAAGGAGTCTTATGAAGCTTCTGCCTTTTTGAGGAAACTTCTGGTTGACCCTAGTAAAAGTGTAGGAGCGAACAACTGTGGGGCAAACCCATGTGCAGCAGGGGCTCCCACAGAGCCTGGGGCTGATGTTGCAGCTCATGGGGGAGTTTGTATCTCCACCAGCTGCCCAGTGCAACAATGCACTCTTGCAGGAATACTGCAATGCCTCTGCAGGCTGATCGTCTTAAGTTCAGACAAACAGAAAAGCAGCACCTTTTTACTTTTTGCACGGCCAGGCAATGCTGCTAATCATTATAGCATGCAACGAGCATCTGACAACACAAACACATTTTTCAGCCTTTTTTTTTAAAAACGAGCATTTCGTCCTATTCAAGTGTAGACTGTACTGTGTAGGCAGCGTTACTGCATCCACTCCCAACATCCACTGCACGCAGATGCTTGAAAAGGAAGCCCTGTGCTTCAGCAGCTGCTCCCACGGAGGCGTCCCTGATCACACCTCCAGGATTGGGGGACCTGGAGCTATGAATACGCCATGAAGAGGGCTGACCTGTGCTAGCCGTGGGGCCTGCGCAGTGAGGTCTGTCTCCCGCTGGCTTGGCTGGCTTGGGGACACACAGGCGAAACTGCCACCCAAAACAGTAACCCTGCCCAGAAACGGTAAACTGCAAACCATGAAAAGAGCCAAGTCAAGAAAACATTCAAGTTAATGGAAACCAGTCTTTATTAAGTAACTTTTAATATCAGAAAAATAAAACTCTTATAATTCTCTTTACAGCAAATATATAATATCAGTGCTTTGGCCATAATAAGTTAAAGGCCCTTTATCATAAAATATATGTTTTTTTAAACTTTACTCAAATTGAATTTATAATCCCTATGACCTCCCTACATATACATAACAAAAAGAGTGTAGTAAAATTAGCAAATACTAAACTATATTGAGAGCTCTGTCATTCTTGAGTCTGTGGTTTATAGAAACAGTACACGCACCTAATATTTGTTGACTCCTTGGCTGATTAGTTGCAGTGTACAATGCAAGAGAATACAAAAGACATGCTTGGTGAACAAGATTGTTCATATCTACAAGACGGCAGCTAAAGATTAAGGTTCCAAATACTGACATTCAAACTATTCTACAAGCTGCTAGCATTAAAGTTATGCATCTCATATTGTAATAATAACAACAATAATATGCCATCAAGGCAACTTTTATACTGAAAAAAATCATAAAATAAAAACCGTTATCTGTAAACTTTTTTTTATAAGAAATGTAACTCTTTCAAGTGGAAATAAAAAATAAAGATTTCTGTATATTTACTAGTTCAATACACATTTGCGATACTGAGGAAAAAATCTATTTGTTTCAGCTTGGGAAAATATTGCTCAAAAAAAAAAAAAAGGAGAAGGAGGTGGGGAGGAAGGAGAAAGTGAAAGAGAAGAGAAAGAAATTAGAAAATAAAGAAATCCATCAGAACTTCTGAGTGTTCTTATTTCAAATGCCAGCACAGATTTGGGAACATTCTGAGGGTGAAGTAGCAACAAACATCCACAGGCTGAAATGTAAAGAAATTAAAACAAAACCAAACCAGAGAAGGCCGTTTTTCCTTGAGACAGAGAAGTATGATTTTGAAATGAGATAAACCATTCTGCTGGGTCACAGTCACCACTGCTTTCATGAATGATAATAGAGTGGGTGTGACTCCTTTTTTCCCCCCTTACATTACTAAAAGTAAAATATATGGTTCACATAATGTGCAAGTATGGTTGAAACATAAAAATGATTCACATTTTTTGAATTCTGAGATTCTCTAAAACAGCTATAATTTAAGAACAGCTTGATCAGACTAGCCAATGGAATGTCAGCATCCTCGCTATCGGATATAACAGGTGTATAAAACCAACAGCTGCCCCCCACTGGCTGGATGCTCCACAGAAGCAGACAGGGATGGAGTGGTGGGGAACAGCATGGGAACACACCACCACAAATCACGTGTGTGCTCTGATGCAAGGATAGTGTTCTCTCACACACAGAAGGTTTCCGTTCCTTTCAATGGAGGGAGCCAATCCACACTCACAGAGCAAAATATAAGATTGGCTTCCCTCCCTTGAAATGGACGGGGAGGGGGGGGAAGCTGCTGCTAACGAGGGAACTCTCTGCATGCATTAGAGCTCCGGAGTCCTTCAGCACTGATCAAGGCAAAAGCAGACTTTCCCACACTCCAGCTATGGAAGACCCACGCATTCCTGATTCTCTTAAGATGCCCTATTTGCATATTGGATGAGGAGGAGGCCCAATGCATACCATTCTGCCTCCTTCTGTCCTTTATGAACAATGATCTTGTTAGTTAAAAAATACCACGATGCTCACACTGAATGTTAGGAAATCAACTCGCGCATCTTAAAATCATTTGCAACATTAGATAAGTTAAGCCTATGTTGTAAAGAGGGAAAAAAAGTGCCCCCAAACCTGTTTTGAAAAACTGGCAGTGTAAAGAAGGCAGCATTGGAAGTGTGTTTGATATATTGATAACCGCTGCACCCTTCCCCCATGACTGACAGCTGCTACGTTCAGGGCTGTACCAGGCTTTTCACTCTTGGGACTGCTGCCACCTACATCGTGTGAAGATCGTCTGGAAGGCTGTGAGCCGGGCGCTCTCTTTCGTTCGGAGACTGACCTGGGTGCCTGATACGCCCAGCCACGTCACAGCTTCATTCCAGAAGAGCTTTGCTACAGTGTCACAGTTGCAACCAAAATGGAGAAAGACTGGCGAGGCTTAGTGTTAACTGTACAAGCCTTTTGAAAAAAGAGTACATGCCTTTCAAACAAGGTTAGCCTAATCTCAAAAAAGCCCAATAACAGTCTCAGTTCATTATAAGTTTACTTAGGGGGTACCATTACATCCAAGCCATTAAGAGTTTTAAAGTCCATATATAATATCTCTATATATTTAAGAGTGAATTTGAATCGCCTGAGTAACAGCTGTCTGGCACACTGGACAGGATGGTGCTTCCTTCTCACAGATCTTGTTGGCACATTCCATGCAGAACAGGTTGTGTCCACACGGAACCAGGGCAGCGATGACCTCGTTCTCAAAGCATATCACGCAGTCATGCTTCCTTCTCAGCTCTGGAGGAGAACTCGACGTGGAGCCGCCATTGGAAGAAGAGTAGCTGTTGGTACCATTAGAAAAAGCAGGGATGTAGATTGGAAGGCCAACCTGGTTGACGGTACTGGGTGGATCACTTCTTACTCTCCTTGCCAGCGGATGTTCTAAGGTTTCAGGAAACGTGGGTGACAGACGAGGCGTAGAGGGCTGACTCCCTCTCCGTGGAGCCTTCATGTTACTAGCAGGTTCACTACCAAAACTGGAGAGCGGGTTAACGGGTTCAAAGGGTGTCCAGATGGTTTGAGAAGGTGCTGGCAAGGAGTCATATGCAGGAGAGTCAACCGCAAGGTCTTCTGCACCAACGGAAGGCAATGTTTCTCCAAACCAAAAATTGCCTGTGCTGAATGGGCTTGTTGGGCTGAAGTCGGCCAGCCTATTGCTGCCAAAGTAGGAATCGGTGGAGCCACTTCCTAAAGAACTGGAGCTGTCATTTCTGTAATTGGAAATCATCCTGGTGCGGCTCGGAGGAGGTACTGGGTTGGAAGAAAGCCAGGCTGACCCCAGGCTCCCTCCTTCAAAGCTCACATCCGTACCATTGTAATGGAAATCATTTTCTTCATTCAGTTCAATGTAGTTTCCAGTGCGCATGGCGATGTGCATTTCTATCTCTTCACGGGCACGGTCTACGTTTTCAGGCATGCCAGTAACTTCAAAGACTGGCTCCTTGTCTCTACTGGGAGTAACTATGTAGGTATGAGTCTGCTGCTGAATTCTTTTGATTGTAGCGCCTTTTGGGCCGACCACCAGCCCGACAACACGGTAAGGCACCCTGACCTGGACTGTAGTTTGGCCTGGCAAGTTGGGGTTACAAGGCAGGCCCCCCAGAGTTGGGCCATTTTTGTTGCGTGAAGCTCTTATCATGGAGAAATGTTCAGCAGCAGAAAGAATTTCCCTTTTGGCCATGGCTACATCTTCTTTGCGCCCAGTGACAACAAAAACGGGTTCTTCTCCACGCACAGGTGTCTTGATATACGTATTCGTCTTGGCTCTCAATGCCTTAATTTTGCAACCTGAATAGAGAAAATATTAGTAAAGCATTTTAGTAAAGATTCTTGGACTGAAATAGAAAAAATTAGTCTCAGCTACTCTGTGCAGCCACTGAACTCCACAAGTCAGATCAGTGAAACAGAGTTTTTAAAATCACTCCTGGAAAATCACACTGCCACACTGAGAACCAGCCAAATAAGGATGGTTGCTACTTATATCATGTGCCAAGTAGGTTTTACACATTAATTAGCTCACCACAATCTGTAGTAGCCTGCCTGCAGACACAAAGGAAAGTGAAAGAACCAGCTTAACAATCTTCCTACCCTCCTTACTTCAATGCCATTCTTCACAGGTGATTAGCTCCTTACAAATCTTTTAGCAGACCTTTTACCTGTTGTAGTGCTCCTCCTTACATGCTGCCCTTCTTCCATGGAGCCCAGAGCAATGGCTAATCCACTGCACTATACTGATACTTAAGATTTTCACTGAAATGGTTTCCATTGATTACCTGAACACAAATTAATGGTACAGAAGGTATTTTAATTCCCTTTTCTATGTAGCAATGAAATGACAGAAAATGTTAAATATGGATCACTGCGCTGCCTAAGTTAATTTTTAATACAATACTTTCTCTTAAACAAATCAGAGCTCTTCCCAATAAAATAAGTTAAACCTAGAAGTGCTTCCAGATGAAACTTGTGTTATGCACTTGCCCTGCTTCATCTTGTATGGGGGCCCAGATGTTGTGAACTATGTGTTACCCTTCCATATTTTACCATTGCGTTCTCTTTTTTTTCCTTTCTACAAAAACATTCATTAAAGAAGACAGGACAAAACAGCCCCACGTTATCTTTTAATTGGTAGTGCAAACGCCCTGTCTAAAAGTACACTAAATCAAAACATCTAAAACAAATAGCAGCAAGAGCAAACCAAGCAAACCACATATAACCTAGCAACCAAAACAAGACTGTCTTAATCTGCTCACAAAATTTCAAATTGGGTGGATCCAAATATAGTTCAAGGAAGGCCAACATCATTCCATTTTCATGTCCTTTCCTCCAAAAAGGGTGGAAATTTAAGCAGGTCTGATTTAGGGTGCAATGCATTCAGGATGATTGGAATACTCTGAATACAGAGGGTTATGGGGAAGCCATGGATCCCCACCAGCTCCTCCCACCCTGCCAGTGTACGGGATGGCTGATTTCAGCTGTCCAGCTGTGGTGCTTTTGGACATTAAAGGAAAGAGGCTGAAGTGCCGCCAATATATGTTGTATCCCAGCAGCCTTTGTTTCTTCCCATGCTTGGAATCCTTCCTTTACCCCTGTTCTGAGAGGACACCTCAGAGAAGCAGCTGCTGTGGTTCTTTCTATGTCTGTTGGCTTTGTGTGTGTAGGAAATCTTTCTCAAATCTTTGGGATCCAAAGACTCTTATGGCCCTCCAAATGGGGGCGTAGGATTGCTTTGTCTATAGATCTCTCAAGAACAGGGAGGTTTAGAAGGGAGTAAGCATTCCTTATCCAGACCATTTAAAGCATAGGTCACCACCACAAATTTGAATCAGGCCTAGAAACAGAGGTCTGAAGTTCCCTAACATATTTCTGAGCTTTCTTCATTTCAGCTTGAACCTTCTTATTAACTAGGTTATGTGTGACTTATGACAAGATTATTTCAAGCCTCTACTCTAAGCTTAAGCTTTTTATGACAGCAAAAACTTTTTCTGCAAAAACCAATCTAATCCTCAAATTATTGTTTCTGTTTCTGGCTTTATTTATTGCAAAGGGAAAGGCAAAGTTATGAGAAAGATAATTAGTATTTTAAATCAGTTGAAATACAAGGGGCTAGAATAGTATACATTATATTGAAACAATATAATGGGGAATGGGGACTTCATAATTTAAAATACAATTAACCATACAGTAGGATTTTCAGTATGGTTTTGTACCTTTTCAAGAATTATTACTAATATAAGAATAACATGGATTGGGCATCCCAACTCTTTCATGGTGTAAGAAGATCAGGTGTCATTAGACACCTTTAATACATCTATGATTTATTCTTCCTTATTAAATTACAAGAAGTTCCATTCCAGTTAAGTATGGAGAGTCTGGGGCTGGCCTAAGCTTGAAGTGGAGATCACATGGGAACCACATGTAGCTACCTTGATTTCCACAAGGGGAGAAAGGTAGGAGATAAATATAATAAATAGAGCTCTAGAAGTGTCTTTCATATTAAAACTGCTATACTCAAGGACTGACAAGTCTCAGAAAATGGAGAGCATGGGAAAATGCAGAGTTTTGCAAAGTATCAGGGCTTGGATCCAGAATCTGCCTTCCACAAGAGGAAGGCCACTATGCCTGACTTCTGGGGATCTATCCCTCTCCCATACCCCAGTTAACTCCATTCAGCAGGTTTTCTTGGCTCTGCGTAGTATTTTTAGGGGCCCAGAAGGACTGCTGTGAGAAGGAGGAAACCGAAAAGCCTACTTGCTCCAGCTGAACCCTGAACCCAAATGCTTATTTTCTGAATGATATTCAAATCTTGTGCTATTTAGAAATCTGCATGAGACTGCTTAACAGAATTCAATGGCTTTAATATTTTCAACTGAGGCAGATGCTAAATTATCCTGTAAGGGAATACAGAACTATGAACTATTCTGATTAGAAAATTAATTTCAAAATTACAGAATATGAAATGATTACTAAAATAAATTGGGACAATAACTGAAGAAAAACCAAAACCAAAAATGCCAAGTTTAAAAGTTCTGTCAAATAATCCATGGGAACTACTGTTGCCAATGAACTACTCTTGATTTATATTGCTTTAAGGAATCATTTTAAAAGTTCAATATAATTGGCATGTAAGTTGTTTAAAATGATCTAAACTGAAAGGGGAAATGATAGAGTCATGCTTGCTAGTGATGTCTTTTCTTCCAGAGCAAATGACTTTCACACACGTTAGAAATGTATAAAAACCCAAGTACACTGGAAGAAAATTGCTGAGATGAGTGAAAGAATTACTACAAAATCATTACTTTTATCACCACTAACATTGCTTCTAGGTTACATTATGGATGTAATACCAATTGACAACAAGAACTGGTTGGTAACTTAATAATTACAGCCTTATGTGAGGTGACAAACACAAGGAACAATACACAAGGCAGACAGGTAAACACAACAGTTGAACGGAATATGCTAAAGAGCAGTCTTTCCCAGCCTGCCCGTCCAAGTGTTGCGCTGCAGCTCCCTTGCCAGCAGGGTAAGCTGGAATACGCTGGGAATTGTAGCCTAAGGCCTCTGGAGGACATCAGGATGGGGAAGACTGTTTGATGAAATACACCAGCTTCCCCAACCCAGTTCCATGGAGATGCTTTGGGCTACCAATTTAGAAATGAACAGATTTTTTTCTTCACCCTGTTATTCTGGAGCGTGTGGGATGCCTGACCAAAGGCAGGCACTGAAGCCACCTATGGGCAGCACCACTTGCAAGACCAGATTCACGAGTTGTCGCCTGTGAAAGAAAGAATCCACTTCCCCACCCAGAGCTGGACGGTTGTTTGTCCTTTGCCAAGCCCCCCTCGTCATCATTTGGTGACGTTGCTCAGGACATCCTGAACTGCTCCCATCACCTGAACAGGTTTCCTACCTGGTACACTGCTATAAAATATAATAAAATTATAAAGAAAATGTCTGCACGGAAAGGAGTGAGGTACACGCAGGGATGTAGACTTCCTTCCTGCCCCTTTAATTTCGCTTCTGCCAGTTTTGTTTTGCCAAGGTGTTTCTACCAAATATTTCCTAGGGGGATGAATGCTCATGCAACAAACAAGGGCCAATTTATTTTTTGTTATTTAACTTTGTGCCACAATAAAAAGTATCTTGGATCTTCACAACGTTGAGTGTCTTGTGTACATCGAATGCTAACAGTGCCATTTAAATCAATTTCAATTCCAGGTTGTAACACAACAAGAGGATGAATACTTCCACAAGGCACTGTATCCTAGGTCAGGCAGCTGGCACAGCCTCTCTTATGCTATCTCTGCGCAGCATCCCAAAAGAAAGCACTTAAAGCCTCCATCTGAAGGTATTTACTGGACTGCTCTGGCACGTCTCTTTCTTACTATAAGGAATGAAAGTGTTTTAGAGCATCTCTGAAAAATGTAAGCCCCATCCTCTCTCCTGTGTCACAACTGACCCACCAGAAGCACTAAAAGTACAAATTTTTAAAAAGTCACTTTGAAAGGAAACCTGACTCTACAAACTCCAAGGTCAACCCCTCTTGTTATTTGGAGAAAAAGAACCTCCATCAAAAGGAAGCAGCAGCCTCTGATATCTGAAACTTCTCAAAGCATCATCAATCAATGACAAGTGCAGATACAAGAGACTACTGTAAAGACAGCAGGGCCAAAACAGAGGCTATTACCCCTTTTAATATGATTCTGCTGGATGACCTTCGTGTTTGTTTTTACTCCAACTGCAATCTTCAGTGTGCTGCCCTCCTATCATGTCATATAACAGCCTGATGAGCTATTAAGCTATGATGAGTCACATGCAGTGCATGATCTAAGATGTTTTCCATTTCCAGCACAACACAGGAATTAAGGAGCAAAGCTTGATTTTCCCACATATTGTTTCCAGGTCCCTGGACATGCAAGAGACTGCTGCATGCAGGAGTTATGCTGAAAGAAACAACTGGGCTAAACTGCATCACTGATATAGCATCTAAATGTTTAATCCAAGTGTTCTTAATTTTTTAAAAAAGGTGCACAGTTCATGAGAATCCAGGTTATTTCTCCTTCATAAGTATACAGTGCCAGTAGAGTCCATAAATATATACACAGATGTATATATACCACCTTAAACATATGTCACTTTTTCCTAACAGTCTCACCAATCGTTCAATTCCCATTTCCCAATTTTAAGTAATCAAAATTAATAGCCAGTGTGCCACAAAACAGAAAGAAGTTTAAGAAGGACACAACAAGTCAGTGTTCATGATAAACCATGCCGAAAGCTAGCCACTG